CAGAAGGTTCACCAAATCTGATTTCTTTTCTGGAAGACATGTGGCACTCCTCGGCCTGCCCGAGGATGAAGTCCTTTGGAGTGGATTTAATTAGCTTTGGGGATGGTCCATTCCTTTTCCAGGAGGTCTGTTTCAGGTTTAGGTCATTCCATTGGCCTCACCATCAACTGAAGGGCAGGTCTCCTGGCCACTCAGTAATTCCCTGGGCGGAGAGGAAGGGCCTCTGAGCTGATGGTCACACTCCATGTGTTTCTAACACCCCTTAGCTGTGAGGACACGATGTGCTGAGATGGGTGGAACTTTGAATTGAAGTTTCCTTTTTTTTTTTTTAGGTAGTTTCAGTTCTCATCCTCCATGAGAAAATCATACAACCGCCCACCTTTCCCAACATACACGTCCACACCTCTACTTTATTGGCTGTAGAAGTTAAATTTGGGCAACTTATGTTTCCTCCGGGGCCAACCATCTTCCCTACACAACCCAAGTGTCTGAATTCACGTCAAGATACTGCGGCACAAAGCAGGGTGGAGGTAAACTTTAGTGTATTCCACTGCTCCATTCGGAAAGGAGGTTTATGAGCTTAAGCATGGAAGTACGAGAGACATGTGTTGCTGTTTGGTGCCTATCACCCGCCCCCCTCCCCGCCACAGCGTGCACACATACTCGGAGCAGCAACGCCCACGCCCGCCCCCTCCCGCGCGCCTTCCTCGCCCCTCCTGCGCGCCCGGCACAGGCAGAGCAGAACTTCCCGTGGGTCGCGGCCCAGCGATACGGAGCGGCCCTGGCGGGGAGCCCTGCTCTTCCCGAGTCGTGGGTGGCGCGGTGCTTGTTTCCCTCCCCTCCCTTTCCGGACCCAAACGGGGATGTATCTGGGTCAGCCTGGGAGGGGCCGGACCTGCCAGGGCCCGGCGTGGGGGGAGGGGATGGCGATGACAGCATCTTTCAGGTTTTTGGCATCTCTGAGCTTCGCCTCGTCCAGCCTCTCACCGCGCTCGCGGCCGGCGAGGGCTGACGCTCTGGCCCGTCCAGGCCCGAGGGGCGAGCGGGGGGAGAACCCGTCCTTCCTATCTGAACGGTCACCCTCCTCC